CATTCATATGCTGCGCATTATTAATATCGATTAGGGGGCGTTGTGGGCGAATCAAATCGTGACGAAGAGCGTCTCAGGGTGACTGGCGCATCTTGTGTGTCCCGATACATGTGTCGGTCCGAGATTGAGATAGCTTGCACTTCTCTAGTTCTCTTTCGGCACATATAAATAAAAAATGGGGGCCTACAACAATGGCGATGGGTTCTTGGGCATCTGCAGATAAAAGGGGATCCGCTTTTTTGTGCCACCATTGTTTCCAGCTTCGCAAAAGGGATACGTGACACTCACCCAAACGCAAAAGCGGGCAACATCTGTCTGCAACTAAACGGCATTTCAGCAATAATCATGGGTCCTTTTGTTGTTGTCATTAGAGTGCGGCAGGCTGCCAACCCAAATCGAACACGAGCCACATGATTATGTGAGCTTTTAGGGTCAGAGCAGGTGAGCATTCTTTAAAGGGAGCAATGATTGTAAGCTGATGTATAAGCTCTTCATATTGGTAGCCGAAAATGACTTTTTTCTGACCAAAGCCTATCAAATTTTTGCCAAATAGATGGCCAAAAAAACACACACACAATTCGTAAAAAATCATTTAGGAAAATGAAAGACGTGACTTCGTTGCATTCTCAGCTGCTTGAGATGTTCATAAAAGGAGCAAAATTGATTTTTCTATAAAAAATAAAATAAAAGAAAGGAAAGCAGCACAAAGTGGCACACTCTTGCATAGGCACACACACACACACACCCGTGCACAAAGAAAAACGCTTCTAGGCAGCCGCAAAAGCAGAAACAGAAGTAGGCCACACTAGGAGCATTTCCCTCGTGGCACCCACACACCCACCCACCAACTAGCCACCCCCCACCCACAACACCACCCACTACTGAACCCTTAAACTCTTGTTTGAGCTGCACTTGAAGAAGATGCTGATGGTGGCTATACCCTCGTCGGGGGAACCCCAAAACCATGAAGCTAGTTTCGCTAAATCGCACTTTTCAAGCTCTCTGATTTAATCTTGCCCGGATGAATCTTTTTATAACTTGCTGATTTTTATAAGTTTACCGCTTGGGATCTATTAACGGTTTGTCTAATTTAACACCATATTTCTCTTTTACTTTTCAAAACCTAATTTTATATGAAATTAACATGTTTTTTGAATTAACAGAATAAAATATAGATAGAACAAGAGAGAACGCTATAGTCGGGTGCCCCGACTATCAGATACCCGTTACTCAGGTAAAGGGAGTGCGAGGGAGATGGAGATAGAAACTTTGATCACGCATAACTTTTTAACGAATGGTCCGATTTGAAAAATTTCTTCTACATTTCGATAGGTATTGATAAACACAATAAAACTGCATTTTTACTTTTCCGAAATATTTATATTTTTAAAATCGTATATAAGCGATTGTGGGCGTTAAAAGGGGGGTGGCACCTTTTTGAAACAAACTTGCGCTGCGTAGGAACTCCTAGAATCTGCATGCAAAATGCCAATCCTCTAGCTTTTATAGTTTCCGAGATCTCAGCGTTCATACGGACGGACAGACGGACATGGCTATATCGACTCGGCTAGTGACCCTGATCAAGAATATATATACTTTATAGGGTCGGAAACGCTCCTTACTCTACGAGTAACGGGTATAAAAATATGAAAGGATACATTTATTTCAATAAAAGTTTCTGGGCTTTAGTATTAAATAACTGACTCTGTTTGGCATATTGTTGAACACATTATTTGTAATATCAAATTTCTCAATTAAAGTTATAAGACAACTTGTGTGGCTAAAGCGTGAGCAAAGTGTTGAAAAATTAGCTAACGATACAGTTTAATAGTTTATAGACTTCAGTAGAAATAAAAAATGCTAAGTAGCTGTTACTAATAAGTCACACAGATATGTTAGTGTAAAAAGAAGTAAATAGTTGAAGACTTTAATAAAAAAAAAGTTAATTAACAATAAAAAAATCACTACAATTGTGGCCAAAAACTGAACCGGTTAAAGCTCTAGGGTATTTCGGCATCGACTCCACGTTGGCCCAGACTCGCCTACTTGGCTCTTAACTCCTGCTGGCTACTTAGTTGCGGAGGCAGTTGGTTTCTTTATTGGCTGCGATTTAGTTGCGTTATGGCCAAATGATTGAGTGGCCTAAAAGTGCCGCTAATGCGGAGAGTGCCCAAGGCAAGGAACTCGAAATGGGGCATAATGCTGCCCCATTATCATTAGCCAACTGGCAATGAGTTGCAACTCTTGCCCACCTTTTCGTTCTACTTAACTTTCTGCTGAAGAGCTGGCTGATTGTTTTGCATATCGGTCGATCGAGTTTTTAGTCGAGTGTCGTGTGAATGATATCCTGCAAATCCTTCAACGGCAACTGTGACTGAAACAAAGTCGCATTCAGTGACGAGAAAAAGCTTCAGCGAAAGGTAAGCTGATTATGTAACACACACGGAGTGGTTGTGGATGTGGGTGTGCCTGAGTGTGTGTGCTTGTGTGCATGCCAGATAGCGCTAAAAACCGTCGCACGCTGACGCCATTTTGTTTCGCAACTTTTCAACAGCTCTTTCTCAACTGTTTTTATTAGTGATTTCCGTTGAAAACAAGTTAAAATATGCGCATTAGATACATTTCTGCACCACCTGCCCTCGCCGCGGCTGAAGGATTTTGCAACTTAAAGTTTTTGTGGGAGAATATGTTGAGCATGCACCTGCCGCTGTCCGCAGACTTATTCGCACATTTAATATTGATTCAGCCTTGCACATGCATAGCTCAAAAATTGAACGCCAAATTTGTTTCTTAAAAGATTTAGCTTTCTAAAAAAATTAAAAATTATTTATAATATACTTTTTTAACATATAAGCACAGTAACTCATTTTAAAGTTTAAAAACTAATTTGGTCTCGTGAGATGTAATTTCATGAATCATGAAGTAGGGTAAATTAAATTTAAATATCAGTTATATAAAATAAACAAAGCTTAAAAATAATGCTTTTCCGCGTCGGCCCATTTAAAATTTATTATAATCTTAGCGATATAATATTTTACACAATATAAAATCTTAATCTTAAGCTTCGTGGAATGGGATTTTCTTTTGAAAATCCTAAATGTAAATTCCACAAGCCGAACCGAATGCAATTTTTGTCTCATTTATTTGTACTTAATTATCCAGTGAAGCTTTTCAAAAAATAGGAGATGAAATTGTACTACTTTTCCTGCTTTTCTAGAAGAATTTCAAACACTGATATAAATAGCCCTTCGTAGCTAAACGGCAATAAGTATGCTACAATAATAAAACATTTCAAAACGCAACCTTTTTCCGTGTGTAATACCTGAACCGAAATGGGGTCACTTTTTTAATCGAAGGTCGTTCAGGTACTGCAATTATTCGACGATCTCTGCGCCCAAAGAGCGATTGCAAGGCATGGCACTCCTAGCACTTTACCGATAATTGATAGAGCCTCTGGGCCAGTCCAAGCCAAGCAATCGGATGAGCCAGAGCCAGTCGGAGGAAGACAAAGGATTGGAGGGGCAGCACTCGACGAACTTAAATTGCCCAGCCTGGCTGGCATATGAGAGCGCCCTGGCTGCCATGACATTTGAATAATGCACGTACCAAGTGAATGGGCGGACAGGAGTAGACACAGGAACTGCCAGCGGGGGCAGCCCAAAAGGGGAGGGGGCACAGGAGGGGGAACACAGACCACCAATTCATTATCGATTGAATCGATGTGCAATGACTACTGAAAATTGATGGAAATTTCCTCGAAAAGGGAAAATGGAAGGCAAAACAATGGCACAGATTCGATAATGCCACAATTCTAAGGGAATTCAATAAAAACAGGCATTAAAGACCAGCTGGCTGTGGATTTGAAGCACGAATCAATGGCCTTTTGTTTTCCATTTACTTGATGGCCAAATGTAATTGTCAGTACTGCCCCGCACCCCTTACTCCGCGCATTCCATTAGCAGTCGATGCCAGATACAAACTCAAACCCCGGCGGCTCTGTCAACAGCTCAACATATCAATCATACGCAATGTGGTGCGTGTTTGGTGCGAGCTCTAATGCCTCGGCTGCGGTGCAGGGTGGCACATACATGCGACGCCTGGTCTTATAAATAATTTAGACCGCATATTACTCCAAAATAACAACACCCCCTCCGTTGACACGTTCACTCAGTACGCACACACACAAAAACTGTCATTAGTGAATTATTTAAATTACGCCGCCGCCAGGAAAGCAAACATTTCAGCCAGGAAGGAACTTCCTGCTGAGAAGGTTTTGCTAAATTAACTTACTGCCCAAAGAAAGGAATGTTTGTAATGAAAATATCGCTCTAATTTCATGAATATTTGAATAAAATAATCGAAAAGCAGAGTAGTCGCATTTTCTTAAGCTTGTTTTTTGAATTGATATACCATTCTACTCATTAATACAATCTTCGAATTAAAGCATCTTCTTGTAGTGTAAAAGGGTCTTACTTTTACTTTAAGTATGAAAGCAACTGTCAGTTTTTTCTAAAATAAATTGGATTTCAAACGATTTTGTTATTTCACAACCAAAATTATAGTTTCAATTTTTGAAAACGGTTTAATAATTTCAGAATTGCCTGTCAATATAATATGCAAAATAAAGTGGTAAAGTGTATTTATCTTATAAGATAAATGTTCTGATCAATTTAGCTTGTGTAGCTATTTTTTTGTGTGTAATACATAACTGCTTGGAGGAAAACGTTTAGTAATGCAAACAATCCTATTGTGCGATATTTCCACATGTTTCAGCTATTACAAAATTTTAAATAAGAGAAAGGTTTTCGTCTTGCCTGAAACTTTAATAAGGTAATAACAGTCGGCTTGTAGAAACCTTAATTCAAGTGTAAAAGCAATGTGCCATATTTCCGTCTAATTAACTTTAATCGAAGTTGTAATGAGTGAAGTTAGGGAAGAACTTCCGGACTATACCGGCCTTTAATTAAGCACCATTTCGCAGGGGGGAATTCGTAACTCACCTGAGATTCTCGATGCGCGGCCTTCGGCACTGCGGCCGATTGCGGCGGTGGCTGCGATCCTTCTTGCAGCGGCAGTCGCAGTGCATGATGCAGAGGGCGATGGACGAGATGACCGTTATCACAAAGGGCACCGCGAAGAAGTGGATGATCACGGCCACCTGGTCGTCGTGGTTGTAGGACGTCAGCACCACCGTCTTGTTCTTGCGCGAGTAGAAGCACGGGAAGATGGCGCCCTCGATGCCGTAGTACCCGTTGAAGTTCTTGCACGTGACCGACGGCGGATAGCCGCATCCCTTGATGTTGACGAGGAGCGTCGCCTCGCCGGACTGCTCCAAGTCCGACGTGAAGTTGCTGTAGTCGGTCATGTTCTCTGGTATCGTAATGTTCTGCTCGACAAACGTCACATAGATATGAACGCAGCGGTACAAATCGGAGGTGCACCCCTCGCGACACGAACTCCACGAGCAGTTGAAGATGCCCACGAGATCCTCGCGACGCGTCGTCGTGCACAGCGTGGGCTTCTCGATAAAGTCGTGGCTCAGCGTCGATATGGCCGGATCGACGTAGAGCGGTACGAGGAAGAGCAGCGAGGCGCCGGCGGTCACCGAGAAGAAGGCCAGTGTCGAGGTGCCATAGAAACGCGCACGTTCCCGCCACGAACGAAAGCGCCGATTGCCATTTTTCTTTTTCGGAGCCAGTTCTCGGATTTTACGTAACCGTAGCTCTTGTTGTTGCTGCTCGAGTAGTAATTCCGAACTGCCACTCCTCATATTATTGTCGGTGCACACAGGGCGCTGATGTTGCTGATTGTTGCTGCTGCTGCTGCTGCTGTCGCGAGTGTTGCTGCTGCTGCTGCGAGTACTGCTGCTGTTGCTGCTGCTAGTATTGCTGCTGCTGCTGGCGTTGCTCCTGCTGCGAGAGCTGCTGTTGCTGCTGCTGCGAGTTGTTCTGCTGTTTCTTTTGCTGCTGCTGCTGCTGCTGCTGTTGCTGTTGTTGCTGTCGTCGCTGACTGCGCAGCATCAGCTGCAACGGCATCAACGCTGCTCCGTCGCCGCTCCGTCGCTCTGCTGCCGCTCTGCTGCTGCTCTGCTGCCGACGTTGCACTTGTGTGTGCAACTGCGACGTCCGCCTACCGCAACATCCAGAGCGCGGGTTTTAGGTTATGTACACACGCTTCGGCGCAGGAGAGCGGAAGAAAGTTGAGTGAAAGCGAGATATACACGGAGAGAGAGAGAGCGAGAGAGAGAGCGCGGGGAACAGCTGTTCCCGAGAAAGTCGTCGAAAGGGAGCGACAGAGACAGCGACAGAGAGACAGAGAAGGGGAGAGACAGAGAGCGACAGTCAGAGAAAAGCGCGCTCTGGCTTTTTCATTTGTCCTGGCCTATTGTTTACTCCGCTCGCAGTTTTCACACTTTTAACAGCAGCTAAAACACTGAAAAATATTATTATTTAGTTGGTTATTCGATGGTTTATAATTAATTTTTTATATTTATCATTTTGCATTTTCGTTATAGGTTTTTGGTTGGTATTTCTTCACATTTTGCGGTTTGCGTGGGAGTCACTTTTTTCACAAGTCACAGCTGTTGATGTAGGTTAGTTAGAGAGAAAGTTTTACAGAGATATTTAGAGAGAGAGAATGAGAGAGAGTGTGGGTGAAAGTTCTGCTGTCCAGAATGACTGCGCTGCCGGCGTCGACGTCGTCGTCGCTGTCAGCGTCGGCGTCGGCGTTTGCCTGTCTAGTGGTGTCGCCCTAGTGACTGTGTAACCTTTTTGTCTGTGTGTTGTGGGTGGAATTATTTATGCTACACATTTTGTGCGGCGGCTTTTCGCTTTTCCCATTTTTTTTTTTTGGTTGTCAGTGCCAGTGCCTTGGCATTTCGCTTATTATTCTTCAATTTATTTGCATTTGTTCGCCAGCACAACATCCTTGATTTATAACAGATCTCTGGCAGAAGTCTGATCTAACCAACGATGTAGTTCTCCCCCATAACATCCTTGGTTCACCTTGGTGGTCTATTGAAAAATGGCCATTGTTGTTGTTGCAACTTCGCGTGACTCTGGACTTTGGTCAGGTTCGGACTTTCGCTCTCGTCCTTTGTTCTTGCCCCGTTTTATTGCTGGTCTGCTTCATTTCATTTCATTTATTTAGCTGCCTTTGTTTTTGCCATGGCACGCATTTCACAATTTTCATCATAGACACCCACAAACCCACACACAGTAACAGACACACGGGCAGTTGGTAGGTGAGCTTAACTGTTATTGCCCCAGTGTAGTTGGAATGATTTCATGCTTTGTTCGGACGACGCGGCGTATGAGTAATGCACTTGGCAGGCAAATTATCCAAGTCGCAGTGAATTGCTGGGCAAGCGTGACATTAAAAGCGTAAATTCTGGAAGCTTTTCTACCAAGCCTCCAAGTGGAACGACTACAACACCAGCAGGCCAGGCAAACGCTCGGGAAAACTCCTTGAGCGTCTGTCATTGCCATAAGAATTAAGACGCGAGTACACAGAAAGAATAGGGTCGGTCTAAATTTAAGTAATTATTAATCTAAACCTGGATTTCTTATTAATAAATACATTTCATGAAATTTCAACATCGATTTTAGTTTAAAAAAATTTAATTAAAATTTAATATTAATACGCTTAATAATGTCAAACTATTATAGTGGTTTTTGATCAAAAGTTCCAACAATCACACTAATTGGCATTTCCAATGTTCTTTAAAATTATTTTGAGAAAATTAAATACCAAAGGTTAAATACTAAAGGTTAAAAGATTAAGGAAAATCTAAATAAGTAGTTTAAGAATTCATGTTCAAAGATACTTTAAGATACTCAAAGTAAAAGAAAATTTGTGAAAAATTATAAAGTAAAAACAATAAAAAAGGTGTATGATAAGCTACATAAACAATAATATTTTGATGCTACATAAACTATCTTCCTCTATACACTAGACATTTAGTTAAGTGTAATTTCTATAATTTTCCCACAATTTTTCACTGTGCAACGCCCACGCCTTTTGTAGAGCTGCAAAAGTCTGGAGGACGAATGGAGGGGAGGATGAGGTGACTAAAAACTAAAATAGAAATAAAAATGGAAATAAAAATGAAAATAAAGCATTAGACTCTCGATTGAAACTAACTTTTGTCAGCCGAACTGGCAGCTGAAGAGCCTGCAGCCCGCAACCCGTTCGCGTTTCCCGCTCCGCCAGCGCACTTTGTTGATTTTGTTGCTAACGTTGATGCCCGTTGTGTGTTGCCTATGGCTTTTCCTATATACTCTTCTCTTGTTGTTGTTGTTTATTTTCAGGACGATACAGAAAAGGAGGTTTGCTTCTTTCTTTTTGTTTCACTTTCACTTGAATTTGTACTTTTGCACTTGAATTTGCCACGGCCCAGACAATCCCGTATTTTGCACGATTACGGCACGGTGTTTGCTGCCACAGAATTGGAATTGGCTAACACCGACGCTGCCATTGGCTCACGCACACACACACACACGCTCACGCACACGCTGGGCGGACAGACAGACAGAATTCTCGACACGAGAAGCGCGCGCGCTTGGCCCTGACGTGCCTCTCGGAGTGTTTGTCCAAAACTGAGGACTCAGGACGCGAAAAAGGACTCCGAGGACTCCCGCCCGGACTCGTCTGCGTCTCCTCCTCTTTTTTTTCCTTTTTTTTTGTTGGCGGACGGCGACGCAGCGGTGCGTCGACGCGGGCAGCGCTGCCAACGGGGGCGCAACTTTGCCGAAGTAACGATGTCTGCCACACACAATCGTCAAGGATTCGCTTGTGCGCGCTCTAGAGAGATATATATATATATATATAGAGAGAGAGAGCGAAAAAAAGAATAAGGAGAGCGAGAGAAAAACAAATCTGCACTGCTTGCCCGATTTCTTCAAACAGAGCCGCTCCCATCAAGTATACGCACTGTCAGCCGGCACAACAAGTCCAACTGCCTTTCTTTGCTCTCAAAAGCTTTGGTTCAACAAAATTAAAATTAAAAATTAAAATTATATTGTAATTTCAATTGTTTGTTTTTTTTCTTAACAATTTTGTTTAAATTACACTTAAAGTTCATTTTAATAATACATCTTTAGCAAAGACCTTTTAGTACATACAAAAACCACAGAGGCAGCTTTTATTGGCATCATTCCGGCGAGTTTCTTTAACAAGTAAATTCCATAGCACATAGTTTTTGCAGTGTATGATTATATTAATATGCGACTCTAATTTTATGCAACACACTCTGATATCTTTTTTTTTTAAAACACTGGTTTTTTATAAACATTAAAAAAAAAGTTATAAAATAAACAAAATTTTTAATTAACTCGGAACATTAAAATCGCATTCCCATTAAATATTAAATACAATTATGGCAGTTTTTTGTTATCTTGTTGTTTTTTTTAATGAAACAGATAGTAATAGCTATCGAAGCTGAGAACACATAACAAATTTCAGAGTTGCAAAATTTACTAATCACGCTTTTACTTTTAGCTGTGAACAATAAAAGTAAGAAAAGGGTCCTAGTTATTCTTTTTACAGTAAAAATGCAACAAGAAATGACAGTTCAATTTAAATAACTCATTTATATATTATTTTTCGAAAGAACATCCATAATGTAACAGATACTCGATCATTTTTAAGTGAAAACAAATAGATCGAAATTGATATATACACCTAAATAACTATCGAACGTGAGAGCTCATCACTAATTTAAAAACTACTAATCATCACGCTTTTTATTTTAGCTGTGAACAATAAAATTAAGAAAAGGGCTTTTTTAATTTATTTTACAAAAAAAAAAAAACAATAAAAGACAGTACAATCACTGGATTGAACATCTTTCTTGCAAAATGGAAATGAAGAACATATATGTAAGCAAATAACTTATATACACACGACAAAACTATGACTATACCAATAATGCCAAAGAGGAGTTATTGGAGTGATAATTTTGTTGAAAAGTTCAAGCATCCGTACTAGTCAAATTAAATGGTTCCTTGTGGTGTAGACGTTGCACTATGGGGCCAACGACCTTTTTTGTTGGCCAAAACCCATTTTTGAAAAGTCGTCAAAACCAAAAAAGTTGTTTTAGGATATATTAACAGAAGACCAATCTGCAATGTTACGTTTCAGGAATTCCGATAAATTGCGCAGCTGTTAAATCAGATGTTTAAGATGCAAGCCACGTGCTTTTGAAATTAGACTTATAAATTGCATTTTTAAAGTATTTAAATAAGCAGTTTATAAGCGTTCAAAAAAATGTTTGTGATAAAAATTCGATGAATGATGGTGTTTACAAAGTGTTTGTGTGTTTAAACGGTTGAAATCTATCGTGCTGTCTTTGTACTTAAGTGTTAAAGTGAGTTGTCTAAAACGCGTTTTTTAATAAGAAAATTAATTTTTAAGTAGAGCAACAAAGTGAGTCCTGCGGAGTCCACTTCTGAAACTAATTGAGATTTGTAGAGTATTAAATTCTTGTTAAAATGTATATTGTTAGAATCGCCACTTATTGCCACTTTTTGCGTAATTTAAGTTTTAAGTACATAACCTCAAAATTTGCAACTTTCACAGTAGTATCGATGAAGATAAGAATCTTTTAGATTTTCCAAGCAATATTGGACTTGAATTCAAACAACTTGTTTAATCCGATTTTTGTTCATTTACATTGAACCTTTGTGGAACGAAGAACATTCTGTTTTGCATTTTAAATTCTATTCAGAAGCAGATATAAAAAATATAACAAATATAATATAAATGTATTTAAAAAGTATATAATAAAAAAATAAATTATTCGATTATCTTAAAAAACAACTAAGTTGAATAAATCGATCGTATGGCAGCTATGGGATATATTTGTTCGATCCTATTCTTTTTAACATATATTGGTAAAGTTGTATCTCGATATCTCTAAAATTGAGAGAGTTATTAATTTTGGCCAACAAAAGTGGTCGTTGGCCCCATAGTGCGTTGTTACAATGCTCTTTGGGTTCTAACTGCCCAGCACTTTATATAGAGGTCTGTGAAAGGTGCGTCCTATTCACTGTGTTCCAAAATTCCACTCAGATCTAGGTGGAAACAAAGTCAAACATTCCGTTGTCCTACAATAACCTGTGGTGTCAGTTATCCAACAGCAGATCAGAAAACCCGATCGATTTGGGAATGATATAAGTAATTATAAATAACATATTAAAGGTTTGGCAGCAACAGCTAATCGCTTGACTCATTAGGTGGTACTGATATCGTTTGTCTTAACTTTAGAGTGGAGCTAGAACTTCTTTAAAGCTTTTCGGGTTTTGACAAATATATTTACTATACTAAGATCATATTTTTCTAGTATGTGTACGTAACAAACTTATATATTTATATCCGCGCACTAGGTGTATCTTTTAAGTATTTTTGGCTGAGTGATCTTTGCAACTAAATATACTTTTAAGATTAATTTTATTTTGCAAGAAAATACAAATATTATATTTTACATTCAAACTTTGTTTCGCAAAGCATTTTTCTCTCTTAAAATAATTGGTCTTAAAACGCAAAACACTTCACAATAATTTTTTAATTCGTGTGATTATATCCTACAGTTCTTATATATCTGCCATACTAGCAGAATAGAACAATGCAATTTATTAAGATATAACTCTTCTATTAAATCATATTATTATATGTGAACACTGATTGTGCTGAAAAAATCTATAGCTGTCATCGAAGCGATCCGATATAACTAGATAAATTTGGTTGATTACTAATATGATGATGTTATTATATTTCGGATCCATCCCTTGTGCGGACTACATCCTATAGATGTCACATATCTGTCATCTTCTTGAAAAAGTTAGCTTCCGTTCCGTGACCTAAAAAGAGGAAGTGAAAGAAATTAAATACGTTGTAATTTTGAAAATAAATATGCAAACCATTCGTAAACCATTAGAAAAGACAGTTTAATCATAGATCAATACTGCAGCATAAACAGAGAACATTTTTCCGGAGGAATCCAATTTTGGATAATCCTTATATCAAAAACCCTAAAATAGAAACTTAAATTAATTAATAAAATTTGAAAATAATTCCTTTAGATTACGCTTAAGACATATTCAAAATTGCTACAAATATGTTTGCAATAAACCATGTACTAATAAAACCTAAAAAGGAAGTAGCAAGCGAAAATTTTTATATAATTGCAACTATAGAAAAAATGATTTGTTTTATAAGTGGAACTTTCTTTAGCACCTGTCATTTATATGAGTTAATATCTGATATGTAAGAATATAATTGCAAGTACTCAACCCGATAGCTTTAACCTAAGAAATCGATATGGCACGGAAAACTATGAGCCACTAAGAAAATTTCTTGATCATTCATATTCTACAATTTATAAATAAAGTAATGATTAGCTACTCCAGAAAAAACAAGTTGTTATGTGTAAAAAACATTTATTGTTTTTTTCGCTTACCTGTGACTATACCAAAAATCTACGAAAAAATAAACGATATCTAATGAACAAACATAAAAGATATTGTTTTGTTATAAAAACTCAATTCAACAACTTCAATAATCTTTCTAAGCTTGGACCGTATAAATTTAATTTCTCGAATACCGAGAAGTATGATTCGAAAAGTCAATTTCAAATGAATGCTATGGGTTTAAGAAAAACATTCCTCAAAATTTATGTGCGTTTATGAGGATTTGTGAAGTTGCGGACTTCAAAGCGGGCACGATTCAGTTTATAATCTATATACATATATAAAAGAAAGTCGTATTAGTTACTTCACTTATAACTCAAGAACGGCTTAACCGATTGAGCTGAAAATTGGAAGGGAGGTAGTTTAGAGCCAGGAGAAGGACATAGGATTTTTATCCTAAGACGGAAGCAAGGCGATACGGTTCCTGGGTATCCAGATGTGCGTTCTACTGATGCTCTTGGTCGTATGTATACAGTTCATCTAAAGAGTAATGAATGTTTCTATTTGCGGTTGTTGCTGGTAAATGTGCGTGGCCAACGTCATTTGAGTCACTACGAACTGTTAATGGTGTGATATTCCCAACATATCGTGCTGCATGTGAAGAATTGAAGTTATTAGAAAGCGACAGTCATTGGGATACGACAATCGCTGAAGCCATTATCTCTGCATCTCCAATTTCGACATGTTTTCCATCAAACCCATGTTACCTGTGGCATAAATACAAGGATAATATGTCAGAAGATATTTTACATCAAATTCGTGTCAGTTCCAGAAATCACGATATTGAGATGAATGAGGAGATACATAATCGTGCTTTAGTCTTGATCGAAGATGATGTGTTACTTTCTCGATGTGCGGTAATTCTATTAATTCCAGGTCTACGGTAAAGACACATACTCGTGAAAGGAATGACGCATTTAATCGAGCAATTGGAACGGGAACGTGAATATGATCACCAGGAATTAGATTTAGTAGTTCTAAAGGAATGTACCCCTGCTTAAGATTACCAACAAAAGGAAGTTTATGACTACTTTAATGAAGGCAATCGATGATGAAAAAGGGTGGTTTATATCATTTCTAGATGCCCCTGTGTGGAACTGGAAAGACATTCCTCATGTCATTAGTATTTCAGCAACTGTTTTCAGGAAAGGAAATCTAACATAGGGGGTTGCAGTTGCTATCTTCTGGAATAGCAGCCATATTGTGTAGAAGGATATCTCCGAATTATTCATATCGAGCATTCTAAATTACTCGTATAAATCCCACTTCCAAACTATTGAAGACACCAACGTTATATTTGCAAAACGCTCAGTCATATGGCAGCTTAATCCGATACATTAGAAAGATCCTTACGCAATGTCTCGAGATGGTTTTGGATTAGGAGGAATCCGATTTTTACTTTAAAAACTTATGGCGATTTCCGACCAATACAGCCAGTAATTCCAAGATCTACGGCTGCCGACGAAAAAAACCCTGTACCTCAAATCGTCAATTATTCATATGGCGCTCTTAATACTAAAAATCCCAACTGCCTAACTTTAGACAACAAAGTTATGTTTTTATTGAGTTACATTGCTTAATGATACATCTGCTGAAGATTTCTGGTAGGCAGTTGCTGTAACCATCGGTAATGGTCAAGTACCTGTCGATGAATCGAGCGGATTAATATCATTTCAAAATAATTTCTGTAATTGTGTCTCATCAAAAGACGAACTTATCAACAATGTATTTCCAGAAATTTTTTCTAACTACAAAAATAATGAATGGTTGAGTGAGAGAGCAATTTTAGCGGCTAAGAATAAAGAAGTAGATGACCTAAACTACATAATTCACAATGGAACAATGCATTCATTCAAATCTATTGACTGCGCAATGAATGAAATTAAGATGAAGGAACAAAGTTTGCCGGGTCAGCTAGTATAGTATATATACAAAAAGTGTTTGAGCTTTTTGCCTGGCAGGCATTTTCTACTGTTTGGTAATTTTTCGAACAATTTTTTACATTTGCACTTGCAACTTTTTTTTCGAAAGTCGATTGGTGTATTATTCGTTATGATCGGACCATCGTTGCAGATTTAAATTTGTTTGTGTATATATTGAAATCAGATTGGAACACTTGGACTATTAGTATATCCGAATAAAATTTAAAATAACGATGCTATACATTTTATACCCTTGCAGAGGGTATTATAATTTCAGTCAAAAGTTTGCAACGCAGTGAAGGAGACATTTCCGACCCTACAAATCTAGTCATGTCCGACTATCCGACCGTCCGTCCTTCTATCCGTCCGTCTGTCCGTCCGTCTGTCCGTCCGTTTCTACGCAAACTATTCTCTCAGTTTTAAAGCTATCCGCTTGGAACTTTCCCAAAAATTGTCTTTCTATTGTAGGTAGTATATATGTGGGAACGAGCTCGACCGGGCGACTATATCATATATGTAGCTCCCATAGAAATAATCGGAACAAATACTTAAAAAAAATTATAACTTAGTTGTTTTTAATTTTTTTTTGTTCCTTGGGATTTGGCAATATTTAAATATTATGGAATTACGGTTTTAATAAAATTAAAATCGGACAACAATTTCAGCGCGAAATCGACATAGCTTCATTGTTATACTCTTGCAGAGGGTATTATAATTGTGGTCAAAAGTGTGCAACGCAGTGAAGGAGACATCTCCGACCCTATAAAGTATATATATTCAGGATCGCGTCGCGAACAAGTCTCTCAGTTTTAAAGATATTGAAACTTTGCACTCACCCTTCGGAACGGCCGACTATATCCTATAGCCGCCATATAACTGAACGATCGAAAATGCCATAACTTTGGTGTTTTTAATGTTAGGAAGTTGGGATTTTTTATTTTTTTTGATTCTTAATACTGAATCATCATTTATGAGTATTAATAATGCATCATTTGAATAATTTTGGAGAATATAATTTACAGAATACTCTGTAAGAGAATATTAACTTCGGCTCTGCCCGAAGCTAGCTTTCCTTTCTTGTTTTTAGTCATATAGGCATAGAAATCGAAATGTAGTAGATTTGTAACAACTGCAAGGGTATATAAACTTCGGCTTGCTGAAGTTTGTTTCCTTTCTTGTGTTATGTTGATTTTGTTATTAAGTATTGCCCTCCTGCCTTGTCTTTTAAAATGTATATTTGGGGAACCTATTTGAAGAAGAAACAATTTTATTAACATTTTCGAAATATTTTGAATCAGTGATTGTATATTACGTAACCTTATTACCCTTTGTTAATATGAATTTTCCAAGTTTATTGGTAAGTGGTTGATCTGAATTTATTATTTAAAATATCCTTGGCTGACTGCAAATAAAAATAAATTTATATATTCGTTGGAAATAATCAATAACCGTTAAAAGTCATATATTCTGGCCTTAGGAACACATTTTTGCTGCTAATATTATATTTATGTTTTATAATTTCAAAAGATTTTACGACTCTCGTTGCTGTCCGTTTTTATACTGAGCAAATATTGACTCACTTCAAGCTTACTCACAATCTTGAAATTGTGAAAAACAACATTATGTTGAACTATACATTTTATATATATTAAACAGCCATTTACTTGCTGAGAATTCGTTTTAAAATAAGCAATTGAGCCCCAGTACAACAGAATGTTATGCCTTCTGAAAGCTGTTATCAGTGAATTGAAATGTGTTGTATATAAGTTTGTATACCCTCGCAGAGAGTACTATAATTTCAGGCAAAAGCTTGCAACGCTCCCATAGGAAGAATCGGAAAAACAAATACAAAATAATAAAAGCCTCGTTTTTTTAAATTAAATTATTTTTTATAACTACCATAGGAACGATAAAAATGTTTTGGAAAATCGACATAGCTTCATTATTTTTAACATGTACGCATAAGAATACAGTCGTTTTATTTTATGGTTTTTTAATAGCTGCAAGGGTGTATTAACTTTGGCTTGCCGAAAAAAATAAAATGTCATGGTCAATACAATATATAGCTATGTGTAAGCCGGAATCCCAAGGTCTACTTTTTTCTCATTTAGAAAAGAAATGTTTAATAATGTAAATCTTTTGTTCTGTTAATAAGTGTTTTTAGACAAGTAGCATGTATATATAAGAATGCTTTTTACGGACTCACTTTCATAACCATCTTTCAGCACAGACCCTTGCAATTTGTTCAGTAATTATCTTCCATATAAAAATAATCAGTTAGTAGAGGGAAAATTGCGAAAACAAGTATTACAACGTGAAGTGCACAACTAAAAAAGCTCGATTGCCTTAAATTAAATTACCAATGACCAAGTCTTATCTTGCTATATTTTCACCTCAAAAAAATAAATAAAAAAATCTATAATCCAAAGTGAGTGCATCGGTCGGAATAACAGCGCGATACAATCTTATCTCAAATTTCTTTCCTAGTCATTTTGTTGCATTCAAAGATAATTTATTTTTAGTGTCTCAGCAGCTAAGATGATGTTGGCGAGTATTGACTTAGCTATTTAATTGTAAAAACATTTATAAAACTGAAGTTAATAAAATATTTTTCAATTTCCGTTTTAGGTTCTACTTGGATTTCTCACTTTGGTCTCTTGCCCAACAATTTACTTTGAATGCGGCTGTTTCATTTCTGAGTCGATAAATGGGTTCCCTAAGGCAAATTGCAAGAGTTCCGACATAGATATCAAGTGTTTATCTCACCAGGAGCTTGAAACTTTGGGTTTGTCTGGCAACAGACTTAATGAGACAATCCTCTCAAAGCTAAACTCAACCGAGTTCGAGAAGCTTGAGCACCTGGACCTGTCGAACAACATGATCACGCGCCTGTCCAGTTTCAAATTCAATACAATGCCTCGTCTGCAGAGTGTGAACCTAAGCCACAACCTTCTCACGGAAATGCCTGATGACCCATGCCGTATACCCTTTATAGATGTCAGTCACAACAATCTGACCGATATGCACAGCTTGGTTGTCCTTTTCAGGACCAATGCGATCACCAAGGGAAATCCGTTTCTGTGCAACTGCTCTTCGCCTACCGTAAAAAGACTATACACCACGGTTCGTTAACGCTAGACAAATAGGATTGACTTAATATTCTTTCATAATATCTGCAATTCCAGGCGAGTCACTCGAAATTGAAGAATATCGAGTGCATTTTGCATGACTCGGATCAGCCAAAACCTTTGTCGACGCAGTGCCACAAGGAAATCGAGCAAAATCAGACCTCTCTACTTGAATCTATAATCCTGTATTGCATTCAGTATTTTAACAGTATTACACTTTTTTTTCTTATCATGTTCGTCATCGGCGTCGTACTTTTGTGTAAAAAAATTAAATGAATTCTGTTCCATTCATTTAATTTTATTTTAATTTAATTGAACGAATATTTCTGACTTTATGCATACCTCATTAAAATATCTTAGCCATCTTCATCAGGGTGAGACTAACTGAGGGGCTTTGTTGTCTTAAAATTAATTTAATTTTCTTTGTAAAAAAACAGTATCAAAATCATGTTCGATTGTATTTTTTGAAAAGTATTCGATTTATTTCAAAGCTCTTAAAATAAATTATTAAAAAACGTAATTTTAACCGTTTAAATAAAAAAAATAATTGGCAGTTATCTCGACTTTGTTTTATTTGAAAAGTGAAATAGTTGCGCAAAAATTGGTAAATCTTAATTGGAAATCAGATTCTGAAAAATTGCGTGAAAAACACCTTAAAACGGGTTCGTGGCCAAACTGCCATTGGAAGATTTAAAGTATTTCACCGTTTTTCGCGCCGTGGAAAAGCCAGTACCCAAACCATTTGAATGTCAAAAATGAAAATCACTAGCATACTTTTCGGCGCTGGTGGATGCTTTTGCTGCTGCTCCCGTCGCATTTTTACATGGAGCAAGTTTGAAAACTGTTTCGTGGAGCTATTCCCCCAATGTTATATCCAGTGGCCCAGTTCCAAAGAAGTGGAGCAGCACAGCGCTGACATGGGAGCTCTATGCATCCGAATCTAGGTCAAGTAACACCTCGTCTGTGTTTGCCCTTGGCAGAATGTCCTTGGTGTGGATAATAGTGCAAAAATTCGCTATAACTTTTTGAAACAAAAAATGCAATCTAAATGGTTACCATATTTTATATTTAAAAATATAAAAGTTATTTTGGCAATTAATTAAAAATGTTCGCTTATTCAGCATTAAAAAAATATTCTTCTGCAATTTTTTTTTAACACAAAAATATTTTTGATACTCATTCATTCAGTATTTTAAATAGATTTTCATTTTAACATTTTAAAAACTGAAATACAATTTTTTAAGACTATACAAAAAATACTGATTTACCAAATTTATCCGAAATTAATATAACAATGAAGAACGAGGGAAACTAAAAAAAAATAATGGCTTCACGTAAAAATTTAATTTTAAATTTGTTAAAATTAAACAAATAGAAGTTTTATTCATCATCTTAAATATTAAAAAATATATTCAAAGACACATACATCCGAAAATGATGATCCGTTGTAAATTGGTATATAAACATAAAATAAGGTCATAGAACTTTAATAAAAATCGCCTTTTAAGACGAGCTCCATAAACGACAAAATTGAAAATTCTTTTCAATATTTCTTAAAAAATTAACATTAAGTATTTCAAAAATCGCTTTTTTGAACATGCGATCACAAGGTACGCCATTTCATTTTTACTTTTAAGACTTTTTAAGTCTTCAAATATTTTATTTTTTTATGTTTTGTTTAAGTACAATTTAACAGTCGCAAATTGGACCTGTACATATCCCTGACATAGAAAAACTTTTAAGTAGGTCATCGTGATGACGTGTGGCCTGATGACCCATTTGCGCCCTCAAAGTTGCCTAGTTGCAAAGTTGCCAAGGTTGGTGGCGTCTTTGGCCTGATTTCGGGCCTGGGTTTTCAGCCCAGGGGTAGTTTGATTTTTTGTTTACCGGATTGAACGCGGCCTGCAAGGGCAAAGTCAACAGTTTGGCTCGGACAGCTGGTTGCAGCCTCCGCAAACTAACTCAACCCAATCCAATTCAAGCCCACTCACCCCTCGCCCAGCCCAAACCCATCGCATCCGTGGTATTTATTTGTCTATTGCCGCGTATCGGTGTTTGCCTAGTGCCCATATTTGTGAGTTCTCCAAACAAAAGTCTTGCATCTGAGCAGCCGAACAATGAAAACTGTTGTCTCTTTTCCACCAGAATTTATGACCCAATGTCAACAGCACGCACAGTTTCCAAGTTGGAGGCGCAGCTCCTCCAATTCTCTAATTCCCCGATTCTCCATCTCCATTCCTGGCTCACCGATTGAATCGTCCATCGGTGAAATCGGCGCGGCCAAGGAAAGTTGCTGTCAGGTGGCCACTTGACCCCAGCCATCGAGTTGGGCTTGCCGGCAACTCCAGCTTCGGCTCCCAAACCCCAAAGTGCACACAGGAAAAAAATGATGGCATCAGTCCTCTCAATATATTCATATATCTCATCAGTTTCAAACAGGAACCGTAATCAACCCACATTTTAAAAGTTAAAATTGGTTGCTGATTCAGTAAGGACGTGACCGCAGCTTGGGTGATATTATCATCGAAAAAGTAGTAGTAATAAATATATTTATACAAAATAAAAGATAATTCAAATTTAATTCGGAATATGGTTTTTTGGTTTGTCTCTCAATCTCTCCAAAGAATGCTTCACACAATAAGTTATCGGAGAAATATTGCTTAAACAATATTTATTATACATTTTTTTCTATCGCAACAATAATAATTATTTTTTGGTTTGAGTAATACTTAAAGAATAATCAGTAAATTATATTTTTTTAATCAAATGAATTATTATTAATTACGGAGACTTGCGATTGATTTCTAATAAAACCATTTTTACAAATAAAATTCGAATGACACATTGGATAGAAAACGGTGCAGATTGAAAAACAGTTATTCAAAACTGCTTCAAAGGCTCTTGCTATTTTAATTTTTTAAACATCTAAGTCGTACGTTTCATTCCGGAAAACCTGTAGAAATTTGTTAATAAATAGCAAACATTTTTAAAACCACTTTAATAGGAATTTATTATTATTTGGTACATTTTGAAAAAGCTTTAATATATAAGTACGCTGAATTCTTTTTAAATAATGCACAATCAAGAATAAAGGGATATAAAGCCGTGTGAAAGAAAGAAGATTGGGACTGCTTCAAAATATTTAATGAAAACCTTAAAGTAAGTTGTGCAAAAATTTAAAGAATGACCTATCTGTGCAAAATTATATTTCCCACCATCTGGATCCAATTCGTATTGTATCTCCAGATTTGTATGTATTATCTTGTGGTTCAATGGGCTGAATTGTTGGTCGTAAAAAAAAAGACCTAATTAACGGCATAGCCCAGTGATATTTTCTCGCCGTGTCAAACCGGTTGTCAAAACTCTATCAGACTGTGGCGATGCTTTTTGTCATTCACATGTCCCGACTGCACATGACATAAATTTGTATCTGCAGCTGATTGTGAGTCGTGTAATGGCAGCATGTATCTTGTATCTGCACTCATCTTTGTCTACAATTTATGCTTCCTGCCATCCCAATCCCCGGCTCCGACCACTTTCATGTCCGTGCTGACATGTTCACATCAATCACACGACCCTGTGCTGGCCGCTGGTAACTTGATTGTCCGTTCCGTACAAACGGATCTCCCCTCGCGACCTGCTGGATGTCAAAAATCCAGCAGATACTCTGCCAGCGAACAGGTAAACATTCTAATGATCCCCGCACGCAACTCCAAATGTCAAGGCCTTCGAATAGGAGTGGGAGTTGAAGTTGGAGCTTGAGTTTAAGTTGAAGTTGGAGTATATATGCTTACTCCGAGTCAAGGGCGATTTTCCGCCATCTGCGATTTGCGTTCGGGGTTTTGTATGTTTTGTGCTTTTTGTTTGACGACTGACATCTCTTTTGATGGACAACTCGACGCGGTGTCGGTGGCATGTCCACATCAACATCCATGTCCAGGCTCATGTCCACGTCCAAGTTCGCAGTCATGACAGCAAATTTGCCTTACTTGACAAGTTCCCTGGCCAATTTCGGGGGTGACCCGTACCGATTCTAATTAGCGAGTGCTCGCAGATGGGGTTGATTACATAATGCTGTAATGAGTGCTGAAAATTTGGAATTTTGGGATATGTAATAAGCAATGAGAAGAATAGTTTATTTTGTATCAGCCTAAGGTTATTTTACTGATTTACACGCTTTGGAAAGGTAGAACAATTGAAAATTAATATTAAGAAAAGGGAAATATAATAATTTTATTTCTAGTTTTTTTACCAGCTAAAAATAATTTTGACCGATTTACTAGCTTTCAACCAAGTTTTTTAATGGAATTCAGGTGAAAGATAAATGGAAATTGATATCATGCAAAGTAAAAGATTAGCTAACTTATATTACTACTAATTAAAAAGAAAAATCTTTATTTTGGCATTTTTGCATAGCCCAATAAATGTAAATATTTGTTTTTTTTTTTGCAAAAGAGTCAGTAAACATTCTCTGTGTTAAAATTTTTATTTTTATCAATTAATCTTTAAAAGTAATATTCTCAATTTGGAATGCAAGCGTTGAGGGTCAGTTGGAATATGTGTTGAAATATGTGTACAAATTATTCATATTAAACCACAACGACCACTTCTATTAACAGAAAGTCTCCCAAAATATATTTCAAGTCAGGGATGTTTGAGTATGTTAGGTATTTGCCAGCATTTGTTTTTGTGTTTACCCACAGGTACAAATACCAATTTGTGCAGCGGATAATTTGCAGACCATCCAAATCAGATGTGGACACTTAATCCGCCCCGATTCAGTGACGTTAATTTGCATACAGCTTGCACTTTCTCTGCGTCATCTCCAGTGGCTACTGCCCTCATCGCATCTTCTCATTTCGTCGTTCGATCGGGGTAATTTCAAGTCGATTTCTTGCCAACAAAGGCCGTCCATTGTGGGACCTATACCTTCGGCGATACCTAGGCATCAGCGTAATTGAATGGAACGGTATGGAATGACATACATATTTTCGAAATCCGGTTTCGAAGGCGATCCAATCAAATCCCCACTCACACACGTGAGAATGCGCATATCTACGGGTATAAGCGTGTGATAAAGAAGGGAATGAAAATACACTGCAAAATGCAATCTGCAAAAAAGTTGAAAAGTTATTATAAATATTTGTAAGATCCACTTCAGATGTACCTTATAAATAGCGAAATTCTTAATTGTGCATTTAGAAATATTTCTACCTATAATACTCAACTTTGCACAGGTCAGAACATTTATAAAATAAATTTAGGAATACCAATCAAAAAGATAAACTTAGTCATATATATTTTAGAAGGAATGACCCAATAAACTAGTCATCTTTTAGACAATATTTGTGCATTTCTTTAATATGGAAATTTTTCTCATAAATAATGAATAAAATTACACTTCATGCTAAGTGTACGAAATAATTGCGGCGCCCTACCAAATGCAGCGGCTATAATAACACTGACAAAAAAGGGTAAAAGTAATAATTACAACTTTACAAAGCAATCCAAAAATCCGGTTTAATTTTCATAAAATTCGAATAAAATTTGAATTTGGTGATGGTCAGGAGGAGAGGTGAGGGGTGCATCCAAAGTGCAACAGCTGCTGAGAACTTTTTCCCGTCTGTCCCTCCAGTTGGAACAAGTCCAATCAGAACGGCCTGCAAATTGGGGCCGCTGTTAGCTAACAGTCGATTCCCGTTCTAATTGCACTCTCTTACAGGCGCTGTAATGCGCGCTCTCTCCTCTCTTTTACAGCACCCATATGCACTCTCTTTAACATTAGCGTTAGAGCGGGCCGGCCTCTGTTGCCCTCTCAACTGGTTGACCTATTTTCCAGTTTGGGTAATGTGTCAATGCGCCTGTATGCGCGTATCTGTATCCGACTGCCAGTGTATCTGTGTGTGCATGTTTTCTGTATCTAACTATTGCCATCTCGCTCCGTCTAACGCCTATGCTTTGTTTTGGTTTTGCCTCTTGCCTTTTGCGTTTTCCTTCGTCGCTCGCTGCCTTTGGTGTTGTAACTCGTGGATTGCATTTACATTCACATTTACATTCACTTGAGCAGCCACTTTGTTGTTTTCTTTTCGTAACTGCGTATTTGTTGTAGCTCTGGTAACGCTCTGTTGATTCGAAATGTTGTTGTTGCTGCTTCGGAATTTCCACTGGAGAAATGATTAATTGAATTTGCCAGATAGTTCATCTTTGCACTTGGCCGCCACTCCTTTTCATCTTCTTGTTATTTCGCCTGCAAGGGGAGGAAGAAATCACCCATCATCACTTACCCATATCGAATATCAAAATACCAGTTGAACTAGTATAAGTCGAACTATTATAACTCGATATAATCCATAACTTAAGCTAGTTTTATTGGCAAAAACAAATACATACATATATGCATTGAGAATTAAAAGTTACAGAAATTTAACGGTAATTATTTAAAATATCGCAACATATTATGGTATTTTGTTTTATACCAATATGTTAATTAAATTAGTATCTATAGAAATTATAGTATACATACAAGTAAAATATATAATAATATTATTCACACACTCAATAATGAATCAGGTGGAATGAAAATCATAATGAAGCAAAAGCAAATGTAATTTGTTTACTGTTTTGGGATTATAAATTTTGATTATTCATCATATTTATTTTAGTAATTTTTAGATAAGACTATAGCAATTCTTTAATCATTTTCAACATTATCGTTTTACTTACATATAAACGCCAAGGAACTTGTTACTGTAAGGGATGTAATTGTAAAAAAAAGTGCATAAATCTTATGGGCTGTGTAATCTTATTATAACATGTGTTAAAAGCATATACATACATATATAATGCTCCAAGGGAAATAGTTCATTAATTTACTAGCATATGTGTCTAAAAATAAACTAAGACGACAATATAAAACTAATGCTTATAACTATTTTCTCTGTGTAGTCTAATACAGATAAGGCCTACATAAGTTTTTCCTTCGACTGTAATCAGCAGTTTTCGGCTAGATAAGAGCTGAAAGCATTATTTCCGCACTATCTGACAAGGTCTTCCGTCCGTCCTCCATTTTCCAGTTATTTTTTTTTTTTGGTTGACTTAACACTTGGCTGGTGGTGTGGGAAATACGCAGTGCATTTTCCTAGACTCCAACTCCGTTCGCAAATGACGTCTTCAAAATATGCTGGCGGCGTGAAAATCCCCAGAAAATCCACCCCGAAATCATAGTGGAAAACGCAGAAACTCCAGAACAATAACTACGCAAATCTTGGATGGATGTGATGGTTATTGGAGTTGAAGATTGGAACGCCCATCCCATCCTCCACCTCTCAATAAACGCCCCCTGCCCTTCGGCACTTGCTGACGTTGCCGGAGAATGCCTACAGAGGTCATTCCAAAGGCAACAACAATGCTCGAACAGCGGAGAGCCCAAAATACCAGAAAACGTCGAAATATATCCACATCCATCCGCAGCAACAGCAGCATATTCACATCTACAGCATGGAAAATTGATGTAAACAAAATCGAATGAATTTCAAAGCTCATAACAGCTGTGAGTATCCAAAAGAGAGAGAGAGGGTGAGAGAGCAGCACGCTCCCCCGCACACACACTCACGCACACAGCCACCAGGGCTCTCTTTAACTGTTAAATTCTGTGACGTTATCGTTTCAAACCAAAAACCGGCCGGCTCTTTTTTGCTCTCCTACGATAACATTTGCGGACATTTGCGATTGTTAAAGAGGATGTACTAAAATGTAAACATTGATGACTCAAATCATTTCATAAATCTCTGCTATTGTATAGTGCTTAATTAAGTTATAATGCCTTTTAAAGAATAATTGTTTATGGGTGATCACAGTGACTATAGGAAATAAATTTGTATGACCAATAAATCTTAAATCTGTCTGTGATGCGGCATGCTTTTCCCACTTTTCGAGGCCCACATTAGGTAGTACTCAACAAACTTACTTTATAGATTTCAAACTATTTTCCAAATACAAAAAGCCTGAAAATAAGGGGTTACGTTCAGCTTTACAGAAAGGACTATAGAGGACTTGAGCGCTGGGCTGGCCGATCAAGGCTCTCTCGTTTGTTTTGAGGCTGAGGTTCGCTTTTCAACAGCTGTTTTCGCAACATTGTTGCTCGCAGCTGTTATCGCTCTGCTCCACACCGTTGTTCTGTTGTTGATAAACCAGAGCGAGTCACAAGCCCACACACACACGCGCATAGGAATTATGATGCTGGTTGTGTTGACAAGTGCTCTATGATTTCCTTTTTTTTTACTGCGTAGTACTTTTTGCTGTTCATCTAATTTATGCTACGATGGCGTCATAGTTATGCTGCTAGGCTACTGCGCATAAGGCATTTATATCTGATGTTTATTTGGCGATTTCCCAATGTTAACGAATGGTTAGGCTGACTGCTCTGTTATCCCCGTGGAAATTGCAGTTTTCCTCTAACATTTTTATGCTGCGGGGAGGCCTCACACACACACACATGTGTTGTTTTGCTTTTCCAAGCGCAGGTAGATGCCATAGAAACAGCGTTTATGTATGGGTATACATCAGAGAGAGTCGGAGAGCGAGCGTTCGCGAGTGTGTTTCTGTGTGTGTGGGTAACTGTAACTGGCCGTTTGCGTTTCGTTTCGTGTTTCGTTCGCTCGCTCGCCTCAGTCTCTGATAGGAAACTCTCGGGAGCAGACCGATAAGCGCTTTTTCGGGCCTTTCCGCCAAACCAAAACACCAGAAATCAGCCAACAGCAAACAGCCAAGTGTAAAGCAAAGCAAACTAATAAAAAGCCAAATAGCCAAGACAATCGGGCACAGTTTTGGTGTTTCGTTTCCATTTTCTTTGGCCACAAAGCCAGATAGGAAACCCCCAAAAAAGAAAACTGAAAAGTCAAAACAAATCAGTGCAGTGCAGCCGCCAATTGCATCCCATATTGCTCTCCGGCGAGTGTGTCCCCATGTGTGTGAGTGTGTGATAAAACTGAGAGAAAAGTGAAACGACCGGCAGCGAAAGCGCGAAAAACAAAAAACTTTCAACTTGTAATACCAAACACTACCACCCCCCACCCTTCCGCCCGCAGGAAGACCAAACTGAAAAGCTGACGTTACAAGCGGTCAAAATTGGATTATGCTTAGGCACAAACGCAACTGCCACGCCATTCAAACGCCCAGCGACGCCGAGCATGTGAAGTTAAAGCCGCATTTTCATCCGCCCCAGTGGCTCCTGCACCGCGTCACCTTCTCTCTGGAGCTGTATCACAAAAACATCATCAGGAAACTGCCCAGTTTCGCCAAATTCCTTGTCTTCAGGCTGACCAAGAACGTCTGCCAGACTTAAGTCACTCGAAACCCCTACAATCCACATTAATAAACTCAAAATATCAAAAGACAAAGTGCGTTTAAAACCAAACAAAAAGTGAATATAATTAAGAAAGAAAAGTGTGCAAAGAAGTATAAAGAAAGAAAATCAAATACTCGAGTGCAATAAAAAAGCAAAAGTGTTTAAAGTGCAAGAAAATGTGGTTGATTATGGCCAAGTTCAAGCTCTAAGTTCAAACAAACAGACGTAGAAAATAAAGACTAGAAGGAAGTCCAGCATATAAAGGCTGGAAAATAAAATTGTAATCCCCTCAATTAGAAACACCGAACGTACAAAAATGTCCACCGGCCGCCGTTTGGCCAAGCGCTCCATCATCGGCACCAAGGTGTGTGCCAAGGGTCCGGATGGCCTCTGGTACTCCGGCACCATCTCGGACGTGAAAACGCCGCCCTCGTACATGGGACCGCTCTCCCCTCCGCCGCCGCCCACTTTCCTTGCGCCGGGCGAGGCCCAGTTGAACGCCGACACGCGCTACATGGTCCGCTTCGATTTCAAGACCGCCGTCGAGTCGCCAGTCGCGTCCACGTCCTCGCCATCGTCATCGTCCTCTTCCTCGTCCATTTCCTCCACGGATCCGTCGGTTATTGTGGAGGCGCGTCGCGTAGCCAGCGTGCATATCAGTCCCGCCCAGGCACTCCGCCGCAGCGCCATGATCAAGGAGTTCCGCGAGTCGGACCTGATTGGACCCGGCTTCCGCTCCATCATGGACACCGAGCTGCAGCCCGGCCAGCGGGTCTACTTCACCTACAACGGACGCGAGCAGAGCGGCGACGTTGTGGAGCACGACGCCACCAAGGACGAGGTGACTGTCAAGATCACAACAGTTGGAAATGAGGTGAGTTGGTAAACAGAACACTTTAAAGTTTAAATGTGTAATATTTAATCAAAAGCATTTCATTGCCAAGTGAGGTTTTAGAAAATATGTAAATGTTTATTTTATCAAATATAATTTAATTTTATTTACATAGAAATTCAAGATATTTTAAATATTTTTAATTATTTCAATTAAAAACTTTTGAATTAATGATTGTTGTATATTAATTATTAATCTTATATGTATTAAAATACTTATAATATAGTATTTTTACAAAGAACAATGTCAAAACCCTTTCAAGAAATTTGGTAAAAATATCTAATGTTATATATTAATAACTGCATTTAAAATATACAATATTGACACTAAATCAATCCACTATTTTACACACAAATATTGGTATAAAGTACTTAAAATTATTAACTTTTCTCTTTAACTAAACTTAGGGAAAATAGCTTTCATTATTTATTGTATTTTGTATTAAAATTTTTATTTCCCTTAATTATTTATTTTCCTTATCTTTTAACATAAACTTTAGAAAAGACTCAAAACAAGATATTATAGTATGAGCATTAGACTAATTATTGCTTGGGACTTTTTAGCTGCCTAAAACTATTGTTCTTTAGTCACTTTGATTTATATTTGATAAGCAAGGAATTCTCAATTTATGCAGCTTTTATATATTTTTTGGGGTTGACCGCTGGCTGCTCTGTCGTCGCTTGCGTCGTCATCATCGCCAACATCAACATCATCATCATCGTGGGGCGACGGAAACTGTGTCAAGGTTGGCTTGGCCACAGAAAAACCCCCCTTTTGGGGGGCGCAGCATACATATGCACTTATGTATATCTATGCGCCTATGTACTCGGTTATTCAGAGCATATATTTACTCGCACCCCAGTACAGTACCGTGCGATATATAGTGTGTATGTGCAATCACGTTCTATGTGCAACTATGCAACGAATAAAAAAAGAAAAGCACAAAAAATACTTGTCGAGGGTCGCATTCCGCTTTTCGGCACGTAATTGGGTTACGCTCTGGGTTGGCCTTCTTGCGTATGCGCTTCGATATAGAACCCCTTTCGATTGGGGGCGGTTCGAGCCCCCAAGATTAGATTGGCCAAAGCTGAAGCTTCTTCAGATTTAATTATCTTCGGGGGCAATCGAAACCCCAAACCAAAATGCAAAAAAAAGTCAACTTGATAAGATCCAATATTAAAATAGCTACTCTGGAATGGCTATAAAATAGTTTATTGAATATCTTTCAAAAAATGCAATCCCTTTGTGTTTTTATTATAGAATAATACCACTCATGCGTGATTTTCAGCTTATTTTTCTCCATGAATTCATTATAAATTCTCCTCAACTCTTCTAGCCCACACAAACAAGATCTAGCTAATCCTCCAGCCACAGCCCATTTTACCATTACGTCACTCGGAATCGTTGAACTGCTAGCTAAACAAACACAAAAAAAAAGAATTAATAAATAAAAGCGGCGGAAAATAATTCTAGGGTGAAACATCGGATGGGGGCATTTATAGAATCGCCCCGAAGCCAAATGCGAACTCGAAAAAATCTCAGTGACGACGATGTTGATGGTGTCGTAATGAAAATTTGTTTAGAATTCGGTTTCGTAAAAGAATTTGATAGAGAAACAAACAGCACCCACGATAAAAAAAGAGTGAAATAAAAAGCACAAATAAAGAGACGTTCGGCGAACAAAAAAACAATTGCAATAAATGCGCTACAATTTCAGGGCTAAATAGAGATACATGGCTTGAGGTTTATACGTTTTACGGCTATGTAATTATATAGATTAATTCTCCGGGTTGGGGCCGCGCCTTGGCAACAACAAACACAACAACCGGTCGAAAGAAAAAGATGGAGATACGCAGAGAGAGCGAGAGCGCAACAAGATCGGATGAACTTTTCGAATTGCGTCATAAGTCAGATATACAGATAGATGGCAAAAGATAGTTGGATACATGAGCGGAACACATGCATCTGAGAGATACATGCTCACACAGATACTCGGCGAAGCGGTTTGCCGGCTGACTGCGCTGCAGTCAGAAAGAGATGCAAGAGCCGGCTTCAAGCTGTGCTCTGTCCCTTTCTCTTCCTATCGCCTTCTCTATTCCTCCAACTTGTCATTTTCGCCCGGCACCTTTTGCTTTTCCCTTGCAGTTTCCCCAGTTTATTTTTTTTTGCCGGCACGGGGTTTTTCTCTCGACTAATAATCGCTTAAAAACATTCGTAATTGTTGCATTCGAATGCCGAGATATTCGTCACGAGCGTTGATGCATTGAAAAAAAATATATATGCATTTTTTAACATATGGCAATATACTACGTTTTTTTCTATGTGACCAAACTTTTTCAATTAAGTTGTCATAATTATATATCTAGCTTTGTATAAAAGACCGAATTCAAGACACACAGATGATCAGAAATTTTATATTATACAGATCATTTTCACATTTTGTTTAAATAATTGAAATGCTGGTATCAGGATTAAAATAATATAATATGTAAACTATAATAAAAATAAATTAGTTATTCACAAAAGTCCAAGTTTAATTCACAGCCAACATATACTTTGGTAATTTGATAAACTGCTATGTTTATTGATCAGCTGGTATAAGAACTTGAAAACAAAAATGTAATTTAACATAGAACATAATTTTTTCCTTCTGTGTAACCGTACGTTTCGAGATACAGATACAGATACGCGCTCCTCAATGCCAAGTCAGCTGCGCGTATCTTTTCCGTGTGGCGAGTCGATAAATTTGTCAGCTAGCTAGCTGGCTGCCAGATGTGTGGGCTTGTCCCCAGCCCGATGTCAGCCCATTGTGCCCAGTATCCAGTATCCAGTATTCGGTATTCAGTATTCAGTATCCAGCAGATACAGATACTACCCGGACTGTGACCTGATCGAGTTTGATCTGTTGCCCAAAAGGGGAAAACACTGAAAATGTATCTATCGCAGCTTGTTTGGCTTGTCCGCTGGGTTTTACGATCATGTGGCGGAGCTGAAAACCCTCGAATTCGGAATCTTTCGGCATAATCAGCTATGGAAATGTAAAGCGAAACGCCATAAAGAAACGCGCGACTTACAAGCTCCAACTTCTATGACCTCATCATTAGCCACAAATTCGAAAATAACTAGAAAAGTGAAGAGCTCAAGTTCGCCGCTGCTGTTGTAAGTCAATCAACAATTGGTTTTTTGTTTGCCGTCTGTGGCTGGTTTTTTTTTTGGCTCGTTTCGTAATCGAAAACTGAACTGACAGCGGGGGTGGGGAAATTTGTTACATCTATCAATAGTTGTCCTCGCTGGCATGTGATGGTCACGTGTGTGTGTGAGTGTTTGACTCCAACCGAAATTTTTTTTCGGTTCAATTGCCCGCCTTTGTTTGCCACAAAACAAGTTTTTTGTGTTTTTTTTTTGTTGTTGTGTTCGCATCGGAAACGTGAGGCAATTAATTCTAAGGTTGTTTTAAACGAGAAACTTGTTGCACGCATTTCCATCGCCATCTCCGTGCTTTACATTTACATTTCCACGTCCATTTCCAGTGGCATTTCAATTACGATGACGTATAATGGCCGGGCCATGAATCAAGAGTCCAGCAGGAACAGCGCATATAATTTGCAAGCTCATTTAATGGGGGGCACTCGCTGACTTGGCCCAAGAATTAAGCTCAGCTGCCGGCCCAAATGTCGGGGATAATTTGTCAAGACTTGGGAGGAACTCAAGACGGGTAGCCCACTCCGATTTGTTGCCACTTCCGGGAGTAATTTGTAGTTTCTCCCTCGTTATCTGACGCTCTGTACCTGTGTGTTTTGCATTTAAAACGAAATTCATTTTAATGGCATTGAAAATGACATTGCCATTGCCTCTTGATTTTTGTGTACGCACGCAACCGTGCTGCTCCCATTTCTCCACTTGACTTTTTACTTTCATTGCTGGCCGAAATATATTTAACTTGTTCTTTTCGGCCTCTCACTTTTCGGCTGTGACCCGTTTTTGGCCCGGCTAAATGTGCAATTTGGCCAGCTGACCAGGTGAATGGCCATGACAGTGGAAGCAGTTTATTTACAACTACCGCTTTCGAACAGAAGAAATCCATCAATTTGCTGAGGGTTTTCACCGCGACCGAAATAAGTTGTAAGCTGATAATTGGATTTGCCCAAAACTTTCCACATATGTGTTGTATAAATCCATTACCTCTGCGATCATTTATCAGGGGTCCTGATCAGCTGAGTAATTTTATCATTTATGAGGCCTTGTTTTGAATCCTGGCGGGACATGCCTACTCCTGCTTCCTCTTTCTATACCTCTTTTGGGGGACTACCCGCTGTTCAGGTCTCGGGATATCGGAATCGGCTAACGACCTGCCCTGCTATATCCTCTAACCTCTCCCTCGCTGTCCCCCTACCCGTCTTTTTTCCGTTTTCTGTTCTCTCTGCATTGCTATGGTTTTACGATACCGGCAAAAACATAAATTCCCTTTTTTGTTCTTTGCCTGTATGCCGTTTTCGGTTTTTTGTCTGGAACAGGCCAAAAAATGACTGGCAGGCCACTCAAGAGCACCGCTGTTTGTATTTTCGGTTTTACTTCGGAGTTTTGGGTTTGGGACTGGACATGGTTTGGAATCGGTTTGGGTGCTGCTGCACTCTAATGACTAACCGACCTTGCCGGCTACTCGTAGATCTTGCAGGTAGAAAGTAGCCGCTTTTTGGCAATTTATACTCAACAAAAAATATGCACTCCAATTGGAAGTAATAAATTCTGGGGAGGGAATGGAAACGTTTGGCTTTTGTGTTTGGGGTCTTTGCTGACCTTTTTGCAGTTTAAACGAGACTTGTCCTCTGCCTGTTTTGGGTTACAAGTGGTATTCATCTGTCGGCATAGCGTTAATTTCTTTTACGGTCCTATGACTCACAGATAGGTCAAATTGAAAGGGAGCTATCACCCACCACCAGCGATTGGCAACCGAAAAAACTGAAGGTGAGATACCTAAATCG